GTACCGAAGAGAAGGAACTACGCGGGGTGTAGCTGGAGGAACACGTAGCATATATGCGAGGATTGGATCGGGGTGCGCAACCTCGTACGCAGGGGGTACGAGAAGGTACGCTGGGTGTACGAGGATCAGGTTGAAAACCCTAATTCAAGGGTTGTACCCTATATAAGCATAATGTTAAGCCTCTTTCTTCATTCTAAGTCAACCCTTACCCTCTAAAGCCCTAAAACTCATCCTTAATCATTCATGATGGCATTTTGAGATTATGAAGTCCATTTTTGGAGTGTTTGATCTATTTTCAAGAAGGTGGAGTTTGATGCAAAGATAGGGATCGAGGAAAAGCTTATGGATCTGGATTTTGGGACTCATTGTCAGCTCGATGAAGGTATAAAGCTCTAAACTTGATCATTGATATCTTAGATCTCTCATTTGTGAGTTTTAGTTCATTTTGGTCCCAAGGATGAGATCTAGTGGTCTTGATTTCATTCCAGGAGCTTTGAGTTGCCCCTCTTAGTGTTTCTGAGGTTCAAGGTCCATAAAGTTGGTACCTTTAGAGTTTAATACCATCTATGTTGGAGTTTGAGTCATTTCCATGAAAGTAGAATGCTATTTGGTCTTTTTGCGGTATGTAAATTCACCAAGTCAGTGATTTTATGGTTCTAGTCGTTCATTTAGATGTAGATCTGTGATTTGGACTTGTTGGATCGAGCATTAAGAGCTTAATGAGACTTTGGCTTAAAGGAGTAGTACACTGGGCATGCAAGCCAAACAGCTTGTACACTTAGCGTACAGCTGAGTACACCCTGCGTACTTAGTCAGATGGAATTATGAGTATTAGGCTTCGGTGTGGGCCAACTTTTGGGCTTGTACGTCTTAGGCCCTGTTGGGCCATCTAGTTTTGGGTTGTTAGTGATGTTGAAAAGGTCCCGGAAGGATTTGAGCCCAATTGGCTACAAGTGGTTTTTAGCATTTTGGGCTTAAGTGTTTAGACTATTATTGGGACATCAGAATATAAGTGTGTTGGACTGAAAAGAAGGATTGGGCCTCATGGCAAGACCCATGTAGAGGTGTGGGCCTAATTTGGAAAATTGGGCCATTAATAGATTTATGGACATTATAATGTTGGGCCTTTATTTTGGGTTTGGGCCTTAGTTTTGGATCATACTAGGCCAGGGGTAGAATGATCATTTTACCCCATGTATGGATTAAGGATTATAGTATGGGACCTTATTACTAATTGGGTATATTGAGTGGTATTGATAGCTCGGGAAGCCTACGGGGTAGTAGCTAAGGATTTCATCCGGGGAGCTTCTGCATTTGAGGTGAGTCTCCTCACCATACCAATGGGTCAAAGGCACCAACGTCAGCCCATTATTTGCTATTTGGTATGCTAGTTGATTATGTGGTATGTGGTATGTGATATTTGCATATTTAGCTCATATTAAGTATAGATTTTTTTTTATCATTTATTAGCTAAATTATCGCATATCATGGACAAAAGATACTTAAAAGTGTTTGAATTACGTTTTCAGTCCAAAAGTGAAGCTCGGAAGCAAAAGGAAGCAGGAGAAGCAATTGGGAGCTCGGGAATTGAACAAAGAAGAAAACCACCAAAAACAACACCGACTCAGCGAGTAGGGTCGACTACTCGGCGAGTCCGATCGAATATTCGAGAAGATAAAGACTTAAAGACTCAGAGACTTATCGCATACAGGGATTAAGAGATGGACTCGGCGAGTTGGCAATGGACTCGACGATTCGGTTCGCATTTATAAAGATAACTTCTCAGATCGACAGAAAAAATTCAAAAAACCCTTCTGGAGAGATTAGCTGCGATTGAAGAGCCAGAAGAACCCTAGAGAACGAAGATACAAACTAGAATCCAATTCCGAAGGAGATTTGAGGCAAAATTCTCATCATTCTACTTAATCTTTTGTTTTCCATTATGGCTAGACAATTAGAATTCATTTATTTGTTGTTATTTACCTCAATCATGAGCTAAAACTCTTAAACTTCTGTTTGGGGATACAAAATTGAGACTATGGTTTGATTATTGGTAGGATTAATTCAATGTTGGTGATTTTTGTTAGTTTTAGCTTGCTAAAGAACCTTGTGTGTGAATGATAATTAATTTTTTGTTAATAGGAAGGTAATTAAATAGTATGAACATCTTTTGATTATCAACCTCATATGTTTATGTGACCACTTTATCATATGTCTAGGATTAATGAACAGGAAACTAGAATTAATAAGAAAATTAGGTAAATTCATGTGTGAGCTTGTGTGATGACCATTAACAAGTAGTTAACTAAAGGACCATATTAGTTAACTATTGCAAGTCTAAATTAACCCGAATAATTAATCTAGTGAATTTAATTAAATTAGACAACTGATCACTGTTTGAGTTAGTTTGTTCACTAAGGGTTAGTGTAGTGAATGCGAATCTAATCACTTGAATTAGTAACCAACAAAAGAGATAGTCCATTGCACTATTACCATAATATCAACCATAGGATCAATTGAGTTGAACTAAACAGAAGTCCTTCCCATTATTGAATCTAGTAATTCTTGTTTTTGTTTTTTAGCTTTTAGTTTAAGTGATAGTTAGTAAGTTTTCTACTCTTGTAAAACTAGAGAAAACCCTTACTTATTAATTAAATTAGATAAAAATTGTTTTTTATTTTTAATTTACCGTTCCCTATGTTCGATAACCTACTTATTTAACTATACCACAATTGATAGGTCCACTGCCTTTGTGTGTTTATTTTATAATTAAAAGTAGGTTTAAAACTAGTTGAGTTTACACACATCAAGTTTTTAATGCCGTTGCCGGGGAACGGTCCTAAATTAACACTAAATTCTAGTTCAATCGATCCTTTGTGTGGGATTTATCTTATAGAAAGTTAATTCTTAGGTAATTTAGTAATTAGTATAAGTTTTAATAGCAATCCGTTTTTAAAAAAGTAATTAGGTTTTTTTTGTTTTTGCCTTCAACTCGCCGAGTGCACTTGTGCCGACTCGACGAGTTCATCGCTGTTCACAGTCTTAATTTTTATTTATTTTGTGTTCTTTTTACACGTATTTTTTTTCTTTTGTTTACAATTGTTTCATGAACCGGGGATCTGATACACCTCTGGTCCCTCCTCTCGAAGACCCGGAATCCGCATTACGGAGGAGCAAAGGAAAAGCCGTTGGAGAATCCACTTCTTCCAAGAATTCGCCACTAAAGAACCTCAAATCCGTTTTCAGCAAGAAGAGGAGCAGCAAATCAGGAGCATCCAGTGCCTCTTTGACAATCGAAGACCCAATTAAAGAAGACACCGAGTACGAGACCGAGGAAGAAGAAGAACCTACATACGAGGACGAATCCGATTTCGAAGACGATTTAGCTATCACTATGGCTAATATCGATGAAGTCCCCATGGGGGAATCGAAGAAGAGGATGCGCAATGACACTGGCCCGGGACTTGTGCAGCCCACAATTCCCGCTAACGCTACTTTCGAGCTAAAGGGTCATATCCTCTCTCAACTCAAGGAAATTTCTTTATATGGAAAAGACCACGAAGATGCCTACAAGCACTTGGATGAAGTAAATGATGTGGCTGACTACTTCAATGTACCAAATGTGTCACGCGAGACACAGCTACTTCGCATGCTTCCAGTCACATTCAAGGGTGCTGCAAAGGATTGACTCAAGTCACTTCCTCGCGGGTCGGTCACCACATGGGCTAAGATGAAAGAAGAGTCCATAGCATCCTAAGTAAAGACCTCGGGGGGTTCCTGAGGCACTAGGGTGTAATACCTTGGAGGGTTTCCATGGCATCCTTAGTTAATATCTCAGGGGGTTCCCGATGCATTGGGCTAAGACCATGTGGGGGTTCCCATGACACCCAAAGTAAAACCCCGAAGGGTTTCCAGGGCATCCTTATATGTTTGTATGTATGGTTTATATGGTAGTTGGGTTAAGACCATGTGGGGGTTCCTATGGCACCTGAATTAAGACCTTGGAGGGTTTCCACGACTTCCTTATATGTTTATATGCATGGCTTATGTGATTGATATGATTTATGTGATTATGTAGAGTATTCTCTGGGGAACTCACTAACTTTCGTGCTTACAGTTTTATTTATGGTTTTAGGTATCATTGGTTTGGAAAGAAAAAGTCCGACTTGATCGTAGCGCACACACCCGTGTTTTCCACAATGTGTGATTTTGGGAAGTACTCTAATAATTGTTTTTAATTACCAATTTTGTTGGAATGTTTGGATTAAACGATATCTGTGTTTTAACTATACTAAAAACAAAACTTTTACCCTTGATTTTTGGGTCGTTACACCACCACACCCTACCATCCTTCCACCTCTCTCCTTTCCCTTCCACGTTCTCTTCAACGTCTTCTCCACCACCACCACCCAACCTATCATAACCCTTGCTGGAAAATTGATACTAGAAACCAAAATCGTAGAACCAGGAAGTTCTAAAATAAAAATGCAAACCAAAACCTAAAACATATGTATACCAGGAAGTTGTAGCATTTCAAACATTCAGTTGGTTTAGCTCGGCTAGACTAATCAACCCAACTAATAAGAGTGTAATTTTGTTTTGATGAAAATTAAGAACAAAAGGTGTATCCAAGTTATGTTGTGGAAAGACGTTACATGCATGCATGAGGGAGGTTAACGGTGCGTGTCAAACGGTGTATGTGTGAGGGAATAAAAATGATGCTAATTTAGTTTGAAATAGGAACCAAACTTCCAACTATCAAAGGTGTGTGTCGAATTGGTAAACACAAACCTCTACAACCATAGTCAAAACGTGTCCCACAAATCCACACTCAATTCAGTTGGAAAATAAAAAGTTCCCAAAATAAATCTAGTGTTTCGATTATATTGACCTCACACCCGTGTCTGTTGCCTCCCTTCCATCCTTCCCTCAAACATTCAACTAGCCACAATAAAAAATGCAGTTCAAACAAAGAACAACATTAATAATAACATATACTTCTCGCATTAAAACAATACTTAGAAACATTGTAAACACAGATAGTTAAGAAATCATCAAACACAAATAGAACAAACGGGTCTAAATAGTTGTAGGAACTCCTAAAAAAACCTAAGAGCAACTATAAATTGCTCTGAATACATCAAAAACCTCAGTTTTTCTTTAACATCAACAAACTCCTAAATTTTCATAATCAATCCCAGAATCTTGGCTCCAACATGAAGTGAGCAGGAGACTGGGTTCGTGCCACATGGCCATATTTGGAAGTGCCATATTTCTTGAACACTGAAACAAGTTTCCCTGTGCCTGATTTTTGGTGTAAACTAACCATCATCTTCGAGCATTCCCTACATTAATATATAACTCATTTCGTTAATTTCCTTTCAAACAAAACAGGAGGAGAATCTTATGCTAATTTCCTGGAATTTTCCTTATAAAAAATGATAAAAATAGGAGCAGAAGTTGAAAAAAGGAGGGGAGAAAAGATCATACAAAAGTTGATGCAGAGAATAGTGTGAATGGAGTTGAGTTGTTTTTGTCCATTTCTTTGACCCATTGAGAGTGCATTCTGCAGTGAAGACTGCAGCTGCTGCCAGTAAAGAAGGTGGGAATTTCACCATTTCATACTCCACAAGACACAGATCCATCAAATAGAATGCTAATGCCTCCAACTACATTCAAAAACACCACATACATCAGAAAAATATATATATAAAAACAAAAAACCAAAATCAAAGAAAAAGAACCTTTTGTTTTCCCAAAACATTAATTCTTTCACAAAAGCATAAAGAAACTTGAAAATTGAATAGTGTATGTATGGAAGATTAACATTTCATGAACACAAAGAAGAAAAACAAACCTCTTTCTGAGATTGTGCAGCTTTGAGAAATCTTTTAGTAAACACGTATGGAGTGGGAACCGAGAGATTGAACTGAAGGGTATTCACCATTACCTTCTCCTGCAAAATATCAAACAAAAACAAATATCATAATTAAGTACTTTCTTTATATTTTATATAGCCTGTAACAGAAAGTAAATCACTAAATCTAATTACCATGTCAAGAACTTCTGTTCTAGTGTAAGCCTTGTCTGAAATTACAATAAAGTCCTCAACAACAGGGACTGAGATTTCTTCATATTTGCATGCAAGAAGCATGGCTGTCACCCCAACAAGCTGGAGCTTCTTCCTTGACACGGTCTGACGTTCCAGGAATCGGTCAATGAGGTTGACCGTTAGATATAACGTCTCTTCCATCAGTTCAAATTTGTAATGAACCTGTTTTCATATTATTATTAATATTTTCTCTAATTTTGCATTTGGTGTAAATAAAACAAGAATCATAATGACAAAAAAAGAATAAATAAATATTAAATATACCTCTTGTTTTCGGTAGTGGGCAAAAATTTCATCAATGTACTCAACCATAGCAAGGGGATTACCCTTATCAGCATTGTCAATGTCCAAAACTGGCTCCTCGTATACATCTTCATCCTGAAATAAAGATCCAGTACTTTTATGCTATTTTCAACTTAAAAGAAGCAAAGAACAAGAAGATTAGAAAAAAGATGAGAAAACAAATTACCATCTTGTCTATTTCATCCAGCATTGCTTCTGTATGTTGAACAAACATTGGTGCATTAAAATCATCTTCAACATCAATGATGCTCAAGTCTTCAGTGTCAATCTCATCAGGGATAATTTGGACTTTTGGCTTTTTACCCTGTCATCAAAAGGAAGTTTATGTATACATTATAAAAACTTAGATATAGCATAATAGAAATCAAATAGGCCTCAAAGTCGCTCAAACTGTACTCAAACTCCTACAATCTTTTCAACCCATATGTTCAAATTTATGAAGTAAAATATGATTTTATCATCCTAATTGAGAATGATCTATTTTGACATGCACCCTATTGACGTTTTTACCCAATCTTGTAGATAAATTGCATACCTCAGGTAAGGGAAATGATGGTTTGCCAGTGGGCAAGGGAAGTGATGGTTTGGTTGTCGTTTGTGCACTAATTGTCCTGCAGAAACAGTAAAATTGGGAATGATGAGTGTTTTCGTTCATAATGTATCCACAAATTCAAGAAAAAAAAAAGTCTGTTACAGACCTAGTAATGGGTCGACGAACTGGAACAGGTTTCTTAGTAGCGATTGGTTTTTTTCTAGAAAGAAATAATAGAGAATATCATCAACATGTTTACTTGAGGAAAGAAAAGATTAATTAGTGTTCACAGAGGCTAATAATGGGTGAATAACAAAGATACATGAGTTGATTTTATTACCCTGGTAATCCGTTAGCAGCATAAGGATATGCTGGTGGAGTTCTGATGATGTTCTTGTTGATATCACTCAATGCCCTCCTGTTCTGACCAAGTGGGGCCACTGGTTTCCCACATCCTGCCTTTAATCCCCCTCCTCCTCCTCCTCCTGTAAAGCATCAATGTTTTAAGAGTTATACGAATCTTTTCGTTATTCAGACATTTTATCAAACAGGTCGTCTACATTTACTGAAGAAAGAACTACTACTTGTGGATCTTTGTTTCAATTACCTTGTGGTCTTGTAGGGCGGATTACATCTTGAAGATTTTCATTTGTACCAGCCATATTCACAATCTACATAGAATCAATAAGCCAAAAGAATCGAATTCAAAACCCTTTGAAAAAGTCCTAATAGAAAGTTAGAAGAACATATTGTAAAATATTTATCAAATGAACGTTTCCATCAATATCCATCGACTGACATTGAAAAGAAACAAACCCTGGAAAAATTTGGGTGTTTGAATAACTTGAGAAATCTACAGGTTTTCATGAAATCGTAAACCCACGAAAGTGAATATAATTACTCACGAAGAACATAACTCAACGATAAAGAAACAAAATAAAGACAATCAAGCGATACAAAAATAATTCCATGGTAATACGATCAAAGGGGTCGATGAAATATATGTATTGGGTATCCTTGAAGCACATACCATGAAAGCAAGTAGAAGGAATATTTGCTGCCATCTTCAGCTACTCTACTTACTTGCAAAAATCTGATTAAACTTTAGCCTTATTCCTGATCTTTTCCTCCTAATATATAGAAGAGATTGCTGCAAGTTTTCCTGATTGCTCTACATCAGAAATGTGACGATTGATTAATTGTGCTTAAGAGTTCATGGTGAGATACAAAAATGAATACATCTCAATAGTCTTCAACAAGTTTGAAAGAGTTTCAAACTGTAACAGTTAAGAATATCCAGTTACGAATTACAAAAAAAAAGTACAACAATGTTACTTAACCAATTAATACATAAAACTATTCAAGTTGAGTTCATCCTGCATTGAGGATCAATAAATTCACAGGTTTTGCACTACTACACAATTTTCATAGATTTGGCTTCTCTGATTTGAGGTATTAAATTTTTGACCTAACTTTCTATATACTGAGTGCAAGTGGTTGAATGTGGCAGTTTGTTTGCATTTCCCCGATATTACTCTTCTTTTTCTGTTTATCAAGTTCATCGTTTGTTAAATATAAGATAAGTGTTATATCAAAACCCAATTTCCCAGTTGGATATTAAAAGTGTGGAATGCATATATCAGCCATGACAAAAAGTTGATTTTCATTCCTCATGAAAATTAAATGCCAAAACAGTAACCAATTTAGTCCGCATTATCTAAATAAAAATTGATTCTAGCTTTCTCAAATATGTTCATTAAGGCATAAAATCAAACACCTAATATGTGTCAAACAAAGGGTGGGTCGTTACTCCTTGGCTCACCTACCTTTACTTTACTGAGACATTATATCAAACACCTGGTGTGAGTGAATAAAAGGGTGGGCACTGCACCAAGGTTTCTATGTTTCCTGTTACGATCATCAGCTCCAAACCCCAAAATAACTATATGCGTGTCACCAAAACCCAAAATCAAATACCTACAAATCACATGAGACTGGATTAACCTGAGGTTAGTGATAACCTCTGCAACCAGAAGAATCAGTTTTAGAAGATGCGTATTCATTGA